TTTCTGTTTTTGATTTTGAGTCCTCTGAAGGAAGTTAGGGTTGGGAGTGAGAATGATTTTGAGTGTGCGTTAGAGTTTTTTTTTTTTTTTTTTAAGGGGTCTGACTTCATTCCTCCCCCTACTTCATGCAGAAATTGAGGAAATTTCTTCAAAAGAAACAGTAAGTGTTGTGGGAAGTGAGGTAATGCCTCTGGAGTATGGTGGGATGGACTCAGAGAGCAGTCCATCTAGTTCGGAGAGGACAGTGGAGGTGGTGAGAGGAGATGAGGTAGTGGGGGTTGGGGGGGATAGTGTACCCATCACTGTGGTAGAAGTGGAGGGTAGGAGAGAGAGGTGTTATGATGTAGATGCAGACATAGTGGAAGAGGTGAAGCAGTATAGATCTGAACTCGAGACCAGGGATAGCCTGGGTTATTTAGTGGAGAATTATGAGATATCATCCCGAGTTCTGATTAGGCCAGCTGGGGTAGAGGAGAGGGCGTGTTCTGCTCCTCGGGATCATTGGATGCCCATGTATGCCCACTATTGCAGCCGGGCTTAGGTTTCCAATACCTGAGTTGCTAGTGGGTTTGTTGTTAGATTATAGTATAGGGTTGACACAGTTACTCCCCAACGCTATGAGGGTAATAATAGGATTTTTAGTTTATTGCCGAGCTTAGGGGATTAATGTGCCAACTGTGAATATGTTTAAGTATTTTTTTGTTTTGAAGGGGGGTAGCAGGAAAGATAAGGGGTGGTATTATTTCACCCCTAGGGTAGTAAATAGGGAGAGCAGGGCTTTATTTACTACGGGTCCTTCATCCATTAAATGATAGAAGGAAAAATTCTTTTTTGTAGATGATACTGAGTGGGAGAGGGGGGATGTTGAGGTAGAAATGTTGTCTTCCTGGAAGGCTAAGAGAGCCAACCAGAATAAATTTAGTTTAAATGAGGATGAGGAGGAAGAGGTGGGGAAGTTGGTGAGGTAGGGGGGGATTTAATAAACATCACGTACCTCACCAGCGCAGAATGCATAGAAGCTGCTGAGCTTTATGGGCCAAGCGCTTTAAGTGAAGGTTTGTTTAGATTTATATTATAGTATTTAATGTAGAGTATAGAGTTGTGTGATTGATACTATGTTTTTCTTGTTCTGCAGCTGAAATGGACAAAATTTTGAGCGTTGCTGGAGGAGTGGCCATTCCCAAGAAGCCAAGGAAGAAGTCAAAGACTTCAACCAAGCAAGTGGATGAGGGAGGAATTGGAAAGGAGGTAGTGCCCAGCACTTCAGCCGGGGTGGAGGAGGAGGTGCCACGGCTGGAGTTGAAGAGGAAGGGTAGGGAGGAGAGAGGGGCACTACAAAAGAAGAAGAAGGTTGTGGAGGAAGAGGAGAGGGGGAGTGAGGTTCCCCTATTCATACCTCGGCCTCCTCCTGTTGAGCTCGACTCTGAGCTTAAGGAGTTTGAGGGGGGGGCTGAGGTACGAGCTCCCGGTGAGGGAAAGGGCCTTGTTCCCCCGCTATCCTTTCAGAGCAGCCTGTTCGAGGCGAAAAATATGACGGGGGCCAGGAGGTTCATCAATTCCACCTTCCTCGAAGTGGACAAGCGTCACGCACGGGACGAAGCTCTGAGGTATTGTGGGGCTTCGATGGTGAAGCATGTTTTAGAGGTATGTTAAGTTATTTGTATTTGTTGGTGTTGTATGTTTGTTTGTTGTTGTTTTTTTTTTTTTTTTAACTTCTGCTTGAATTGTAGAGCTCGTGCTGGGTGAATGGTCTAGCCCAGGAATTCATGGAGAGTGTGAAGGAGCGCTCCTTCTTGTAAAGGCAGTGTGACCAGCTGCAGAAGGAAAAGGAAGAGCTGGAAAAGAAAAATAAAGAGATGCAAGAGGCGCTGGATGAGGTGGTTCCAGCTGTGAAGCAGCTATAGCAGGAGAGGGCTTCCCTAAGCACCAAGCTCGTCTTTGAAGAGAGCAAACGAAAATTTTTTGAAAGCAAGCGTGAGGCTTAGGAGAAGGAGATAAAGTTGATGAAGGAGGCTGTGGTGGAGCTGAAGAAGAATGTGCAGCTGATGGTGCATAATGGGATGGAAGAGCACATCAGTAACTTCATCAGCTCCAGCTCGTTTGACAACATCGTCAACCTCTACCGGCTGCCAACTGCCATCCTCGCCTTCACAGACTGCAGAAAGAAGGTGAATGCTGAATATCTCGAGGTGGATATTACAAAGATCACCTTCGGCGAGCAAGAAGAGGGAGTGGAGGAGAATGGTGAGAGCATGTCAGCAGACTTCCATCCTCAGATCAAACTGAGGTGGGATCGTGATGTAGACGGACGCACCGTTTTCCCTCCAAATTTCGACTTCGAGTTCGTTGCAGTGGAGGAAGAAGAGGCAGAGGTAGAGGAAGATGAAGTGGGGGCAAGAGTGGAAGGAACTGAAGTGGATGAGAGTCAACCAGCTCAGCCAGTGGAGATTCATCCAGTTCCTTCTGACGATGAGCAGCCTCCTCTACTAGACGAGCAGCAGCCAACACAGCCACCTCTTCCAACTGAGCAGGAGCCAGTTCAGCAACCTCCTCCAGCAGAGAAATCATTTTTTTTTTTTTAGTTTTCTTTGATGTTGTTATTGTAACAACAGTAAAACAATCTGTTGTAATACTTTTATTACTTTAAATGAAAATTTTGTTTTGAAATTATGTGTTGTGTTTGCTTTACGTTTTTGTTATTTTATATTAGTAGAAGAACTGAGATTACTTTGGATATGTCTTGAAGGAAAGTAAATTATTTCAAAGATGAAATAAAAAGAAGTTAACCACTTCGAAGATGAACTAAAGAGAAGTAAACCACTTCAGACGAATTAAAAAGAAATAAAGCACTTCATATGCGAAATGACATTCATTAGTAGAAGTGAAGTTCAAGGAATGAGTGTTAAGCAAATTGACCTTGGATACACAGAGTAAGAGGTAAAATGAATCTTAACAATCACGAAGTAATAAGTATAAAGGGCAATAAGACATAGATCACTTGAAAGAAGAAGTATATTAGGGGTAAAATTTCTTCAAGTTATTGACATTCTAGACTCTAGTAACTCTCTTTCCTTCAGCGTCTTGGAGGACATAGGCACCAGGATGTGGCACCTCGGCCACAGTATAAGGGCCTTCCCAATTTGGGGCCAGTTTGCCAAAACGAGTTTCAAACCCTGTTAGGCCAGCCTTTCTGAGAACAAGGTCTCCTACTTTGAATGTTCAAGGGCGGACTCGTTTATTGTAGAAGTTGGCTAATTTCTGCTTGTATACAAGAGTTCAAAGCTGTGCTTCTTCTCTGACTTCAGCAAGCAGATCAAGGTTTTCCTGAAGCAGCTGTCCATTTCGTCCTTCATCGAAATGGGTGACTTGGAAGCTTGGGACTCCTATTTCAATAGGAATGATTGCTTCGGTACCAAAGGCCAAGTGGTAGGGTGTTTCACCTATTTCATAAAATTATATTCTTTAGAATATGCTTTACATATTATGCATATTTGATCTAGGGTAGAGTCGTAGGTGAGGAAGTAAGGTAGAATGAAAATAAAACGAAAGGAACTTGGTTTGAAAATAGTACCTGTGGCAGTTATGCTCGTTGTTCTGTATGCCTAGAGGACGTTGTTGAGCTTGTCTGCCCACTTGGCCTTGTGCTGTTCCAACCTTGGCTTTATTACTTCTAAAATGCATTTATTAACAGATTCTACCATACCATTGGACTCCAGATGGTAAACCGAGGTGAACTGCAATTTGATCCCGTAGCTGGAACAAAAATCTCGGAATGAGGAGCAGTTGAATTGAGTTCCATTATCAGCCACAATTTGATTCGGGATCCCATATCTGCAGATGATCGAGCTGAAAACAAAGTATTCGACCTTCTTGGAGGTAAAACTGGATAATGGCCGAGTTTCAATCCATTTTGTAAAATAATCCACACCAACAATCAGATGGGTTACACCACCAACCCCTTTCACGAATGAGCCCAAAAGATCCAGTCCCCACTGAGCAAATGGCCATGGTGCCACCAAGTTCGTGAGCTCTTCTGTTGTTGGTGAGTCAGATGTGCAAAGAATTGGCACTTTGGGCATCTCTGAACAAAGTGAATGGCATCTTTATACATGTTTGGCCAATAATATCCCTGTCTTAAAACTTTGTGAGCCAGAGTTTTAGCACCAACGTGACTCCCGCAGACACCTTCATGTACCTCCCGAAGTGCGTACTCCGCTTCATAAGGATTCAAGCATCGTAGAAGAGGGAGTGAGAAAGATCTCTTATAGAGGACCCCATCAACAAGTGTATACCGAGATGCTTTCTTCCTCAACCTCATTGCCTCTTGCTTGTCTTCAGGTACTGTCTCGTCTCGTAAAAAGGAGATAATCGAGTCAGTCCAGCTTGGCGTGTCTGGGTCTGTGCTGATCTCCATCATCCGTGGCTTCATGAAGCTTGGTTCATCTAAGACCTCCACAAAAACTGATCTGGAACTTAAAGAGCTATCAGAGGCAAATTTAGAGAGTGAATCTGCCTGTTCATTCTCAATTCGGGGAATTTTGCTCAAACAGAACTTCTGGAATTTGCACTTCAGCTTGGCCACTAGGGCTACATATTTCATCATCACAGGATCGACGACTTCGCAGATTGAGTTGATTTGATTCACCACCAGCTGGGAGTCACTGTACACTTGGATCGCCCTGACTTTCAACTCCAATGCTAGCAGTAGACCAAGTAGCAGAGCTTCATACTCAGCCATGTTGTTTGTTGCATCGAAGTTAAATTTCAGAGTATGCTCACTTCGGTATCCATCTGGGCCAATCAAGAGAGCACCAGCTCCTGAACCCTTGCTACTAGATGCCTCATTAACATATAAGGTCCAGTCGTTGGGCTCTAGATTAAGGGTTGAATGACATGGAGTGCATTCTACAATAAAATCTGCCAATGCTTGAGCTCGGATTACAGATCTCTGTTGAAATGTTATCTCGAATTCCCCCAGTTCTACTACCCACTTAATTAATCTTCGAGAGCACTCTGGCTTTTGCAGAATCTGTCGAAGAGGTTGGTCTGTGAGGACGATAATTGGGTGTGACTAGAAATATGGCCTCAGCTTCCTGGCCGAAGTGACGACTGCTTCTGTTGCTTTCTCGGCAATAGGATACCTCAATTCTGCGCCATGCAACACACTGCTAATGTAATAGATTGGCTTCTGTTGTTTGGCTTCCTCTCTCACCAGAACCGAACTAATGGCTTCATCTGAAATTCCCAGATACAAATAGAGAATCTCTCTATCTATGGCCTTAGTCAGTAGAGGTGGTGAGCTAAGATAAGACTTCAACTCTTCAAATGC